AGGATATATTAATATTATGTTGTTTTACCAGATTCAAATTTGTGCTTTCAAGTTTCAAGGAATATCTAGAGCCCGTTTGGTAGCACGAAAATCGGCTGTTTTGGCTGATTCTGCTGAAATTTATGAAATTCTGGCTCAAGTGGCTGTTTTGGCTGATTCTGCTGATTCAAGAAAAAAATATTTTAAAAATATATTTGATTAATAAATTATAGAAAAAATTACATGTAAAAATTGCTAAAATAGTCCTCTACAGTAACTTCAGCCAATACAGCCAGAAAAGTAACTTCAACCTTACTTTTTCTGCTTATTACACAATTCAGCACACAAAAGTAAAAGTTACGTGTTTGGTGAAAAAGCTGGCTGATAAGCCTGATAAGCCGAAAAAAGAGGTCTCCAAACGGGCTCCTAATAGTTTTACCAAAAAACAAAGGAATATCTAATAGTAACACTTCTTCCTTAAAATTTTTAACGTGCTTTTGATATATACTATATCCAACAAAATAATTAAAACAACTCTATTGTGTTAAACCCAATAAATGATTTATTGTTGGAATACAAATTAAACTAATTTATTTAATAATCTACAAAGTAATATATATTCAATCTAAGTATCACTTAATGTAGTTTGTTGCAAGAGATCCATTCTCTAGAACTCAATAATGGAATCAAATATTTTGGAGTCCTTACCATGAGTCCAAATTGAAAGTGGGTATTCCTATAATGGTTAATTACGAGGAATCAAATGTACAAGCCAAGGCATCTCGGATTGCATTTTGCCATTCTATTTACTGGATCTGGAGGGTTAGGAATGCTGCTATTTTTTATGGTGTGACCCCAAAGGAAGATGAAGTGTTTGCTAGGATTAAGTACATTGTGTACAAAGTTTTATATACCATCTATCCATATGATTTGGTTGTATTTTGAAAATATTATGCCCATCACCCATTTTTGCTTGTGATTGGCTTAGATGTAGTTGAGGTTGCTATTATGGCACCTTATGTTTTGTAGGGCTGGGACTTTGGAACCAAGAACCGGAGAACCGAACCGGACCGAACCGTTATGACCCGGTTCGGTTCGATTCCGACATTTATTAGTTATTTGTTAACGGTTCGGTTCCTATTTTTTATTAACGGTTCGGTTCTCGGTTCCTGAAAAAAATATGTACCAGGAACCGTTATATATAATAATTAAAATTATATATATTTATTATGGGTATATGTATTTTAATGTATATTTATTTTTATTTTTATATTACATTCATTACTTTAGTTTAGTTATTTAACTATTTAAAATTATATTTTCAAAAAGAAAAACTATTTAAAATTATTATTCACTTCAACCCGTTCTCTTAGGCTTCTTAGGCATCTCATTAGGTCCAAACTCCAGCGGGTCGGAACTCAAAAGGTCCAAAGTATTTAAAATTATTATTCTCTTTAACTGGTTCATCATATTTGTATTGTAATTTCAAACGTTGAATGTCTTTTTGACAAAAATTTAGTCGTGATTGGTAAGATTTTTTCAAAGACTAGGAACCGTTAAATGACAAGAACCGAACCGTTAAGAACGGTTCGGTTCCTTATCGGTTCTATAAAATATTTTATAAGAACCGAACCGTTAGTAAAATTTCATATTTTCAAACGGTTCCACATATTTTACCTAGGAACCGAACTGGTCCCAGGCCTAATGTTTTGTAGGTGATGGGTTATCCAAACTTTGGATAGCCTGCATTTTTGCTCACCTTTTTGCTGTACAGACAAACACTTTTGGATGGTTCCTTATATATAGTAGTACTTACAGTTCATCCAAAAAAATAATTACGAGGAATTTAGATTAACCATCCGACTTGTGCAATGACACTCAACTTTTAGTGATGCGACTTGACAAACAGTTGTCGATGTCCAAATGTTGTCAGAGTCAATTGTGAGCCAAAAACACTTCTTTATTAGACTTTCATTGACTCCTTCTGATGTGAGATTCACATTCACCTTCCAGTGCAGTCGATTCCCTCTATGAGTGAAAATGTGAGGATATTCTTACGATGATCTGTTTTCACTCATGAGCAGCTTTATGTCGTTGTATCTAGGCTCACGATGATATAAAATTCATTTTGTGACAACAATGGTGGACCAACAAATGCAAATTGAATGTACGTGGTGTATGAAGAAGAGATTTTTACCAATTTATAGTGCTACATTTTATATTAAATAAAATGGATAACTTTTAATTTAAATTCAAAGGAAAATGCTATCCATTCATTTAGAACAATAATTAAATTGCTATCAAATAAATTATAATAACTTTTCACCCCGGTGAAAAACTAGTCAATGCTTATTAATACGAGTACTTCATAATAAACTTGCAAATGAGGTAATTTGACTTTGACTAATTTCTTATGGGATGAAAAAATAGATTAGTATATATTCGGTACACTGAGTGAAGAAACTCAATATAAGATAAAAATATATACAAAATTTAAAAGCAAGATTAAATATAAAATTGATAAAAAAAATAGAATTGGATGAATAAATGAATTCTATTCTAGAAATGAAACAATAAATATTCCTTTTTCTGAGATGATTATAACAAATCATTAATTAATCAAACTCTCAGTATGTAGCTGAGTGATAATATAATCAGGCAGATTACAAGACATAAAAACCATCCGACATAGAAAGAGCAGCCCTGACAAGCCTATGAACTACTACATTCGCAGAACGTCTACCGTGTATGACTTGTATTCTAGCTTCATTTTTCATTTCGAAGACTGAGTCTTATATCATCTACTGTAAAATAGTATCCAAATATGAGTCCCCATCCGGATGTTTGGATCTGATTCTTAAAACCGATTCTGCTCCTTCCGGGAGAAGTTGAAGTGTTTGACCGAAAGTGCAAGATACTTTTCATGCTCTAATTTACTTTTAGAGCCCGTTTGGTAGCATGAAAATCGGCTGTTTTGGCTGTTTCTGCTGAAATTTATGAAGTTCTGGCTGAAGTGGCTGTTTTGGCTGATTCTGCTGATTCTAGGAAAAAATATTTTAAAAACATATTTTTTAATAAAATAAAGAAAAAATTACATGTAAAAATAGCTAAAATGATCATCTATAGTAACTTCAGCCAATACAGCCAGAAAAGTAACTCCAACCTTACTTTTTCTGCTTATTACACAATTCAGCACGCGAAAGTAAAAATTACGTGTTTGGTGAAAAAGCTGGCTGATAAGCCTGATAAGCCGAAAAAAAGGGTCTCCAAACGGGCTCTTAGAAGCAATTTTGTTAGAAGCAGTTTTCTCGCCATCGTCAAATTCCAACTAAACTCCACCCCGAAATTCATACGCTAGAACTTGTTGCCTACTGATATCGTAAAACAACTTATTAAGGAAATCTGCTTTCTTCCAGTAGATTGTGGATTTGGTGTACGATAAGATTTGCTAATGCGTTTTATCTTCTAAGTATGAATGAACCTTTTCATGATTTTATGCGATTTGTCTTCCATGGATATGCAGATTAATTAAAGGATTTAGAGGTCTTCGCCAGTGCCGGTCCTATCTAAATTCAGGCCTGAGTCGAGCTTCATAAAATGGACCCCATACATAGTGTTTGTTTATCATATAAATTCACTAAAATTGAATGATTAAATATCACAAAAACGCAATCTTTCAATAAAAGTCTTCTATTATCACAAAACAACATTGAATGTATTAAAAATTACTTAAGTAAAACCCGTCGAACAGTTTTAGATACTTCGTACATAATTTAGTGGAATCCTCAACAATATATATTACTCCGTCTTAATTTTCTCTACAAATCAACCCTCGAACTAATTTAAAAAGTGCAAATCACCCCTTATATAAGAGGTTCTGTCCGACCGTCACCATCCGGGGTGGTTCCCAGCGAAATTTTTTGATGAGATTTTTTGAGCATCTTCTTCATTAAGTCTAGTTTATCTATACTGAAGTTCAGCTAAAAAATCAACCAATAAGGCAGTCAAATGATTTTCTGAAATATACTGCGCTGTTTAACTGCGCAGTTATCTTCAAAAATTCATTTGACCACCTTCCCGATTGAATTTTTTAATGAAATTTGGTATGAGTAAGTTAGACTTAATAAATAAGATGCTCAAAAAATTTTATCAAAAAATTCCACCAGGAACCACCCCAAATGGTGACGGACTTGGAAAATACATATGTATCATAATAGTAATGTTTAAAAAGTTATGGGCCCTTAGTTTTTTCAAATTTTTGGGGCCCTGAGGCTTGGGCCTCTCCAGCCTAACATAAGGCACGGGCCTGGTCTTCGCTTTCTATCAACTTACTATGTTTCGGTTTATTCGTTTATTTTTAAATTCCATGTAAAACTTTCGTCATTAACTCATTATCATGCCGGGTCAAATGCATAAATGGTACCTTAAATATTGGTAGTGTTGCATTTTGGTACCTTAACTTTTAAATGAATCAAAACAGTACCTTAACTATACATAAATGTTTTGAATTGATATTTTATTCAAATTTCCGACCAAAAAATCACACATGACGGCCAAAATTCTATGTGTAAAGTCTACTTCACATTATTTTTGTCCTTATGGCCACTATAGAATGACTCTACACATGAAATTATGATCACTGTGAAGGATTATTTTGTCGAAAATTTGAATAAAATTTCAATTCGAAACATTTATCTATAGTTAAGGTACCGTTTTGATTCATTTATGAGTTAAAGTACCAAAATGAAACATTACCGATACCTAAGGTAACATTTATGCATTTGACTCTTATCATGTGAACATTTGCGTTCTAATCATAGATCTTTTGAATTCCATTTCAGTCAAATACAATTTTTTGCAGTCACATTTGGCTTCGACTTTCATGTACAATAAACATACTACGTATATGATATTCATTCTTTATTTGAGTTCTTAAAAAGACCACTGAATTATTCAAAAAAAAAGACCACTGAATTTCTTTGAAATGGTATCCAGGTAAGGCCATAAGCTTTATTCACAGCACATCGAGTGGATTGTTAATTAGGAAAAGGAAGAAGTGACAAAATGGAAGTGGTGAAAATAAGTCTAGGGCAGAAATGGGATAGATCCAGCATTTTAGTTCCTTCCCTGTATAGGACACTTAGTACATTGGGTTCCCAGATATTGAAATCTCCTTCTCTAGTTTCCCTTGATCATCCCGATGACTGGTCTCAATCTCATGCTGTTAGACATCCTGGCGGCAGTGCATCCCCTTCTCAAAAACGTTCTGCTAAGCAGCTTAAACGTATATGTGTGGAGTCTATAGACATATATAACTCCTTTTCATTTTATGTTTTTGTAAAAGGTCTCCCTATTACTTTTGTCACTCACATGCTATGCTTTGATTATTTGAAAATGTTGAGCTAGGTTGTTTATTGATTGATTAGATATGATCTGATTTATATCATTTGTACTCTATCGTTGAAATTGATTGAATTTCGTTTCTGAGATAGATTTTCGTATACAGAAAAGGAGACAGCTAGAATCATTGACGGAAAGTCAGTTGCTGAGGAAATTAGATTAGGAATAGCTAATGAAGTTAGCCAAATGAAAGAATCCATAGGGAGGGTTCCTAGCTTAGGTGTGATATTGGTAGGACAAAGAAGAGACTCCCTTGCCTATGTGCGTAACAAAATTACGGCTTGCAAAGAAGTTGGTTTCAAATTTTCATTGAACCATCTGTCTGAGAACTGCAGAGAAGATGAAATCTGTGATAAGTTATCAAGACTCAATGAGGATCCTTCGGTTCACGGTATTCTTGTTCAACTTCCTTTGCCACAGGTAAGAATTGACCGTTTCATATTAGAGTTTGACTTTCATAATAGAAGTTCAATACCATACGAGAAGTAGCCATATTATTATATGTTAGCTTATTGTTTTATATTTAACTAATGTGGGTCAAATACCTCAAAATAATCGGACTGGACAACTTGAATACTTGATGGATCCTCAGCCCAAACCGCCCAAACTGGGTTGGACAACTTAATGTGGATAAATGTGCCAAATTGACCCCTCACGTGCTACCCAAACTATGAGTGGTGAAAAAATTAAATAGGAAGAGTATCATACAATCTTATATGTTGCTTTATTATTTTATATTGAGGCAATGTGAGACAGATAATTCAACATTCATGTAAATCTAAGCAAATGATTTGGACCTGAGTTTTTTTTCCAACAATAAGCATTGTCATTCAACTATTCAAGACTGAGTCTTTTGTATATTTTATTTAGACTTGATGTCTTATGTTATATATGTGGGGTCTTTTTCTCAGATATTCTATTTCTTAGCAAGTACCCTTTAAATGAGGGTGTGAGAGCTGCCCTCTTCTTGGGTGATTGCAGCATTCCTGAAACTTCCCCTATGCTTTTTCCGGCACATAGCCTTTGTCTTCTACTAGAAAGTCAGGGGCAAAGAAAGTTTCAGTGAAAGATTCAGGGAATAATATTGATTCGACAAAATACCCTTCAACTGAGAAGGTAGGAGCTACTGCACTAATTCTCTTGAAAGATGATTTCAGCATTTACTGAAACATGCCCTAATCCTTTCCTTTCCCATCATAGACTATCTCCTTCTAAGAAGCTTAATATGAAGCAGTTCTAAAGATGAACTTTTTTTGTTCATGAGTTGTGGTTGTACTGTTTAATGGCTATTGACTATAGGTTGATAAGTGAATTTGAACAGAATTTGGACAATGAAAAGATACTGAATATGCTAAGCATAGAAAAGGATGTGGATGGCTTCCATCCGCAGAACATGGGAAACTTGGCCATACAAGGTAAAGAACCGTTGTTCATACCCTGTACTCCTAAAGGCTGCATTGAGCTGCTTCTTAGGTCTGATGTTGAAATAATGGGGAAGAAGGCTGTGATGATTGGAAGAAGCAATATTGTTGGATTGCCCATGTTTTTGCTCTTGCAGGTATGCCATGTTGTTTATACCTTGTGGTGTGCCTGGATCATGGATAATTTTAGGGGGGGGGGGGGGATTGGTTAGGAAAGTTATTTTCTATTATTTGGCTTTACCTTGGGAAGTGCAATGGAAAATAAAACAGGATTGTTATCTTTTACATACACTAAGATTTCCTAATTCTTATTAGCAAAAACCGAATAGACAAAATGAGTGAACAAAAATATAAACTAAATTTGTTGAATTTTAGTTTATCATACCTCCCCCACCCTCTCATTTACCTCTATATTATCCTTTCTGATTTCTTTCACTATTATTCCCCGAGTTCCAAATGGACCTTAAATCTTATTGTGGATGAAAGAACCACTCATTTTTTCTCTCTAATGTTTTTGGAAGAGGCATCATGCAACGGTTACCATTGTCCATGCATTTTCGAACAATCCAGATGTTGTTGCCCGGGAAGCTGATATTTTAATAGCTGCAGCAGGGGTACCTAATTTAGTTCGGGGCAGTTGGTTAAAGCCCGGTGCAGTTGTTGTTGATGTTGGCACTAACCCAATAGAGGTACTGTACCCTTCAACGCCTAACATGTTACATTATTATTTTACACTTCTGAGTTTACGGTCATGTTTTGAGCATTGATTTTATTCATCTATAATACCAACGAAATAAATATATCTGGGTGCTCAGAGGAAAATAATGATGTACATTATGTGTATGTTAATTGGTTTTATTAGGATGAAGAGAGTGAGCATGGTTACAGGCTGATTGGCGATGTTTGCTTTGAAGAAGCAGTAAGAGTAGCTTCTGCAATAACTCCCGTGCCTGGAGGAGTGGGTCCCATGACAGTTGCAATGCTGCTTTTCAACACACTTCAAGCAGCAAAACGTGTTCTTAGGTTCCCTTGATTCAAAACTAATTTATAGTTTGAGTTTGTGTAGTTCTGTTTGAACACAACTTTTTATTGACAGTCTTTGGCAGATCCCAAAATCTTTTGGGATTAAGGCTTGAATGTTGTTGTTGTTTGTAGTCTTTTGCAGATCGTTTTTGGTGTTCAATGAAAAGTTCTTTCTTTGGGAAAAAATGTGTGAATCTTTAGTCATTTGGTATGTGATCATGATATATCAATAAAACCCTATAAGTAAAGCTTTTGGGCCTTTGGCTTTAAATTTCCTGGAGTATATTTCAGCAGAATAATAAGTAAAAAGGTCATGCACGCAGTTGAATAATTTTTCAAGGAGCTTGGAAACTTGCCTTGAAACACTTTTGGTAGGAAAACGATCTCTTTATCACTATTCTTATTTCTTCAGTCCATTTATCACGCTTTCTTTCCTCTTTCTATTCGATAAAATGTGTACTTGGAGCTAGATGCAAGAGTCAATTTCCAAAGGTATTTGTATTAATGTATATGATATGTTCATCTACAATTGAGCTTGTTAACGAACTAGCAGTTTATTTACAGCCTCAACCACAGGGATGACAGCTACAATTTTGGGGAGTAAAAGCACAATACCCGAAAGGCTTGTTTGGAAGGTCACACTGAATACCATAGCAGCACTTCATCCAAACACAATTCTCTTCGGAAAATTGCGGGCAACACTTGCACGGTGCGCAGGTGTGGAAAGTCTCCAGCTTTCTCCTTCCAGCTGTTATCATGTGAAGTCTCAACTCTGGGGTGGTGCCCATCGGCTGTAGCATTTTCTCCGTCACTACCTGTGATTCTGATGGCTTATCAACTGTGCGAGATTGAGGAGCTCCTGTGTTTAAAGTTCAGTTTTCAATTCAGTAAATTTAAATACATAAAAACTCTAATATTTTAACAATTATAACCTAAAAGACGTGCCTAGAAATCAAAGGGAGAACAATAGAACTATAGAAGTACCTAGGGGTGGCCCGGTTCCGGTCTGACCAGCCTGGGAACCGGACCGGACCGTCACTATGCGGGACCGGTTCCGGGCCTAGGACCGGACCGGGGGTTGTTTGAGGGCGTTTCCGGGACTGGGGAAATAGGGACCGGCCCGGCCGGTCCGGGTCCGGTCAAGTTTTTTTGTGTTTTTTTTTTTTTTGGGTTTGGGCCTATGGTAGGTGGACTGGGTGTTTTGGCGGGGTTTGGGGGGTTGGAATAAATAAGAAAATCTTAAAAAAAACTAAAAGAACCGGCCCGGCCCGACCCGGTATCGGGCCTTACCCAAAAAATCCAAGCCCGCCCGGGCCCGACCCGGAACCGGACTGGGCCCGGTCCATCCCTAGAAGTACCTACGGAAGGATCATTGTTGAAATCTGCAAATGAAAAAACTAGGTGTGGACCTTGTCCCGGACCAGCCAGTCCCAGTCATTGGTTGGAGAGTTGGAGAAGCTCGGGTCCAACCCGGTGAAATCCAGATCTGGGCCGTTTTTGGGTACCCGGGGGGTGCGGTCCCAGTCCAGACCCGGTCTCGTTCTATTTTTTCGTTTTTGCCCGTTTCCAAGGCTTAAAAAAATTGGTCGGTCCGGGACTGAAACTGGGATTAGAACCGCCCGGTTCGGTCCCCACATAGGTGAACTGGGACTGGGTACCCTCTTGGGCGTACAGGGCTGGTCCGAGGCCTGAAACTGGAAATTCCGGTCTGGGTCCACCCTTAGAAGTACCTAACACCGTCCCCCCATGAAGACATGCAATACAATATTTTTGCAAACCAGAAGGAACGAGGAAGTACTTGAGTCTGCTCTATTTCTATCAGCATTCTAAAGTCCTCTCTGATTCTGTACTCGGTCTAGTTTATGCTGTATTTTGTTATAATCTACGTACTAGTATTGTATGGAGACATGGAGCACTATTTTTACCCGTTGTCAATAAAAAATCTGAATATGATAGATAGTGTTGAAGGACTATTACTGCTGATCTTTGAAAAAAACAAAGGAAAAAAATCTTCAATGGTCATCTGTACGTTTTATGCATAAATGGTGATTCATGCGAATCGTTGTGGTCATTCCAGCCCGAACGGATCAAAATCAGTAACCTCAGATTAATGGATACTAAACAACAAACGATATATGTGTACACAGTATTCTAGTGTTAACGAATGAGTTTCTCGTGAAGGAAATCATAGCTCACCTTCTTCACCCACAACCAAGTGGAAGACAAAGAGAAGCAGTAGGAATAATAAGAATGATGGCTGTGGGCTTGGACCTTTGGAATGCCTGGGACCTGTTTGATGCATGACCTGTTTGGATTAGCAAAGAGGGAGGCTGGATCATATGCACTTCTTGCTGAAGTAGAATATGTGGTATAGTATATTACAGTATATTTTATTTATTTTAACTCTTGATCATATTCAATTAACGTGGAAATCTTGAATAAATCTTCATCTGCTCAGCAGCTAAGTCAATATAAATGATTGCATTTTAGAAGAAAGAATTAATTTAAGGAAAAGTTGGTTTAATTGAGGAGACTTAAAGAGCTAGCAAAAGGTTTATTTCACGCATTTTTACAGTATGTAAAGCATTGAACTATTTTAGAGACACAAGAACCATATTTTAAGCAATTTTTTAAGGATTCGACACATGAAATTATCTACTTAACACATTCAGAACAAATTCTCTGATATAAATTAACTTAGAAATCATGGATTTCCCATACTCAGGGAGTCAGGGTCAAGACACATGATTGCATTCTTGTTCTTTGGAATAATCAAAATACTTTAGGCCTGTAAAGTTGATATAATACATCTTTTTTCAACTATAAGGATGTTGACAATGCAAAACACACTGAATCCCTCTTTCTACAGTACATTGCCATCCAAAGTTATAGGAATCTTGAAGCCTGGATTTACTCGTGACTACTACTACGTTTTAATTAGAACTAGAAGGTTCACTTTTTAGTTCATGAGTTGTGGATGCTATAGGTTGATAAGAAATTTAGAACTGCATTTGTTCGACAAGAATGATACTCCGTATTAGGATGTTTTACTTGGACTGAAATTTGCTAGTCTGGTCTATTTAAGTTTGGTCTAGTCTGGTCTGGTAAATGTCTGGTCTCTATGTATTTTTATAACGATGGAAGTCTGGTCTATTTAGGTCTAATTTAGTTTGGTCTGGGACTGAAAAAAGTCCTAAGTAAAAACATCCTAAAAATGTTGATCAATATACGGATCAATATGGCTTCCATCCACTCAACAGGGGAAGCAGCATAGCCAGGCCATGCGATGAATGCCAAAAAGATAACAGGAAAGAAAGAAAGAATGATGTGGCGTTCAGGAAAATCAGCGTTGCTGGATATTCAGTGTTATGGCCTTCGCTGTAAATTTGTGCTTCCTCTATCTTATAAAATCAGATGTTGGTCAAATCTATCTTAATATAAAAGCAAAAGAAATTTTTGGAATAGTGTTCCCACCTGAAAGTGTCAACATCATGCTTTATGTTAATTTTTCATTAAAAATAATTGCAAATAAGGTTTTGTAAGTATTTCAGTTGTACGCGAAAAAAAAGGTGAGGGCAAGTTGATTCATGTGAGATCCTATTGGTTAGAAAAGAGGTGGTACTGTGGGAGCAGTTAAATTATTAATAGATGTACTCATTCCTATTGGTTAAAAAGAGAGGTGTCACTGTATATTAAGACTTGAGTGGTTCGTACAGCTCATAGAGATTTAATCCCATTGGTTAAAAAGTAGGTGACCACTGTTCACACAGAGAAAAGGTCTTTCGCATGCCTCTAATTTATTGGATACTTATTTTTAATTGGTTGAAATGGGTGGTGGGAATAGTGAAGCTTAATGATTGTTTCCAATTTTCTAACAAGTTGTAATGGCTTTTCGTCTATAAAAGGAATGTTGATGCAAGTTTTTCAGTCATTCATTTGCATTTCAAAGATCTAATTGCATAAGATCAATATTTCTTTGAAAAGATCAACCTAGGATCACTTGGGCCATAAAAGCCAGGAAAACAAGAGCCTATAGGGAACCTGTGGCTTCCCACCGTGATGGCCAAGGCAACAAGGGTCTACTGGGAACGGAAGAAAGCCATATGTTTTTAGAAAAGTGAAGTCGTTTGTTTTAAAGTACTCTGTAGTATTTATGGGCAATTTTATCAGCCATATGATTATATGGCTTAAATAAATGTAGACACAGCTATAACTACAATTCGGAAATTAGTATCCAAGTTCAAGAGATATACCTGAGATTTGGGTTGCTTGATGCCCTTCATTACCTATTTCTATCATATCTCTATTTCTAGATATTACATCAGAAAATTTACAAACTAGGACATAGATGGATCTATTTAGTAACACATGCTAATGAAATACAAGGACAAAAAAGATTTGATAAAATGATAAATCAACTTCCTGCACAGTACAAAAGTTTTAGCAAGTTAGCAATTTAAAAAAATGTACGGGACAGTATTATTATTAACCACAAGTATCACAATGGAAAAATCTATTTAAAAATAATTCAACAACGTAAAGAGGGTCAAATTTAAATGTCCTGCTACGGTAAATGTTTATCAGTTACCAGAGCTCGCCTATGGTTAAGTGAATTGTAAAGTGTTTTGGTGAGTTTTTAGCAATGATGTAGTCAAGTACTAAGTGAAGTCATTCCAATTGTAAAGTGTTTTGGTGAGTTTTCAGCAATGATGGTTCACTATCCACAATTATCAATGTCATGCCACAGCCAACTTCAACAGAAGTAGAATTGTTCACCATCATCGGCTAAAGATTTCAGTTTGTATTTGTACATACATACACTCATTTATGTGGTCACTAACTGAGAATGGTTGCATGTTTATAGGAGAGTAAAGCTCAAGTATTCTCCTTTTTATTACAAGTTATTTTTAAAAAAATAACTTAAATTTAAATTCCACTACTTTCCTCTCACGGTGAAGTTTGGATACTATCTTTGAAAGATCTTCAAAAATTACAACTATATACTGGACTACTTTGATCTATAACAAAGAAATTAAATGCAGAGTCTCTAGAAATGATAACGGTAACAAAATCCCCCATTCATTAACACAAAATTGAAAGGCATTCCACGTGCTGAAATACATAATCTACTGTTAATCAATAAGAAATAAAAAAATCTCAACAAAGCACTGTGGGAGTTTATTGCATAGTAAATGATTTAATTGACAAGTGCCTGTTGAACTTTCTAGATTCAAATTGGTGTTTACATCATACTCCAGTTCCTACTCTGTATGCATTTGTAACTCCTGGTGCTTCTACGGTGCTTTACAAAAATAATGGGTTTGGGTGCATATGAAATTATCCCAAATCCCAACTACATATACCATCTATTAATTTACTAAATTCATCACTAAATTCTTCATCATTTATACGGAGAAATTTGTACTTCAATTTTTGGTTAGACATCTAACCTTATAAAGTTGATTTTTTAAGCCAATATTTTTTTTAGAATTTTAAGCCAACATATTAAAAAATAATTTAAAAAACAACGTACTGAACTTTTATTTCACAAATTGAATAAAATGTATGAGAGCAGAGCCATTATGATAAAACTAAGTTCGGACCCTTATTCGAGAAACATTTAAATACTTATGTAAATCCTTCATAAGCATATTCATAACTCAAGAAAATGCTTTCGAAAAACTCATGAAAACCAAAATATTAGTGTGGATTCAAGAAGTTTCCGTATTTACACGAATTTATGCTTCAGTTTGGTTGGATGTACGGTAGATTCGGCATCTTTGAAGAAGTCTCGCTCATGGTGCATGCGACGGATCAAAGGTAAAGTTACAGATCTGGGTCGGGAAGAACATAAAAATTTTAAATTAGAAGCTAATATGTAATCGGTATTACCTTTATTGAGTTTGCAAATCATTCTTGGGCAAAACCCATCAGGGGAGAGTAAATCTCTAAATCTTTTTTTGAAAGACCATGCGAGATGGGGCTCTTAATATATCTAAAGGAGAGAATAAGTGGGTTGTTTGTAAGCATGTGTGAAGGGAAATCGATAGTGGTGAAGCAGAGATATGAATATACGGAGTATGATATTGTATGGAAGAAAGGATAGAGAAAGGACTGTTAAGGAGTTGAAGTGAGATTGGGGTCAAGGGATGGTTGGAACTCTAACTCACCAACATGCTTAAAGTGTGGTTATTGGGAATGAATATTCAGATGATCTTTTAGTTACCTCATTTTATACGTACTAATACGGAGTATAACTAATTTTTGAATACGGAGTATGTCTAAAATTCAAATCAACCAATACAACAAATTTGAGTATTGTCTAATGGGCTCTTAATTCTAATTTTTGAGTAAGAGAAATTTTATTAAAATTTATTGACTTTGTAGACATGGTCTGTAAAGTAAATTCTACTACCAATCTCATATCACAATCGCACAACCCAATATTTTTTGAATAGTACTACCTCCGTCCCACTATATCTGGCCAATTCGGTTTACGATGCTTGAACGATGATAAAGCAAACAGATCCCTGTCAGCACTCAATATATTTTTAGAAAAAAAATTACATATTGAGAACTTATATTAAAAACTTTACAAAGTCGCAAAAACCAGAATCAAATTTGATAAAAATTGATATATAAAGTAAGACATTAAGAGTGATGTATGTTGACCAAGTGAATAGTGTCTGGACAATCTTGGTGGGGCGGAGGGAGTATAATTTAAGAATAACATAACACATTTTCACATATTTGCACAACCCCCTGATTTGCCCTGTTACATAGGCAATTCGTTTAAAAATGCAATTCGTATAAATTTAGTCATTGTGGCGCATTGGTTTTGTTGTTGAAAATGCCATTTTTAGTCATATTCAACTCTGTGTGGCTAAATTTATCATAACCAATCAACATTATAGTGTGTGATACATACTATAAAAATTTTATATAGTATGTAGTATACCTTTTTTTTTACTCATATTCAAATAAAATTACAAGTTTAGTTTTATATCAAAATAAATTTGATTCAAACTAACTACACCTGTGAAATTTCACTAACCTTGCATAGAACGAACGTTCAACACATTTCCTCTAACGTAGGGCTCTTTCCATGATAAATGTATTGTGTAGTTATGTACATTTTTTAGGAAAGAAATCACCAAGCGTGCGATGCACGATCAGTCGATGAGATACAGATGTAATATGACTGTAGATACATTTTTGCGTGCGAGGCTGCTCGGCGCATATTTGAGTTTGAAATTCAATATAAGACCTAAAAAAGTTAGGTCTTATACATATATGCAGTCATTTAAAAAAGTTATATACATATATACCTAAAAAACATTATATGTATGAATACTTTTATGAAGATTTTCTCATAAATTTATATTTAAGTATAGTTTAGGAAAGACATAACACATATCTGCACATCCCCTGATTTTCCAGGTTACATCCGCAATTCGTCTAAATAATGCAATTCGTATAGATAAAGACATAACACATTTTCACATATCTGCACCCCCCTGATTTGCCATGTTACATCAGCAATTCGTCTAAATAATGCAATTCGTATACATAAAAACATAACACATTTTCACATATTTGCACACCCCCTGATTTGCCAGGTAACATCAGCAATTCGTATAAATAATGCAATTCGTATAGATAAAGACATAACACATTTTCACATATCTGCACCCCCCGATTTGCCAAGTTACATCAGCAATTCGTATAAATAATGCAATTCATATAGATAAAGACATAACATATTTTCACATATCTGCACACCCCCTAATTTGCCAGGTTACATCAGCAATTCGTTTAAATAATGCAATTCGTATAGATGTAATGTCACCATATTATTTAGTAATTATAAAAATTTATACCTTCAGTTAACATATATAGACCTTTGATTCGAAAATGAAAAAAATCTTCGTCAATAATTTACTTAAATGAAGGATTTTAATAAGGGAAAATTTTCGAATATGAGTAAATAAGTTTGAGAGTTCCAAAATAATTTTGTCATGTTTTTATTGCCAAAATAGGCGTAATTAATGTCAAGCTTGAAAAAAAATGTCATGCTTAAGGTCCAATTTTTGGAATACATAAAACTTTTTTCGTCCTATTTAGTGTAATTTCCATTTTAACAAGGGTTAATGCTAGACAGAAGGTACAAAGAAGTGTTTCATAAAATTTGCCATATAATGTAATTGTTTTCAAATGATGTTTATATTCCGTGTTACTATTTTGTGGGCTATAAAAATTAATGAACTACTCTGTATTTCTGTATTCATTAGTAAATTGTATTTTATATGTTTCATTTACTTCAAGTTTTATTATTGCATGGAGTATAATTCTAAACAATCCAATTAAAATTACAAGTTTGTTTATTTTTTAATTAAGATGTTGGCTAATATTAATTATACCCGCGAAATTTCACCAATCGTTCATCGCACGGGTATTGATGAAGAAGAAGGAACCTCTGACAAAACTCAGAATGTTGTATTTCAAAATTGTTCAACAATATTTAGGGTTACAAGAAATGTATATTTACAATGTTATGATTTATAAGTATTTGTTGGATGTTTTTTGATCTTTTAAGTAATGCTTGGTGCTCTCTTTTTAACTATAATACGAAGTATATATTATAAGTGTGCTTTGTTTATTGTTGGAAGTTATATCAATATTCCATGAAGATAAATGCTCTCATCCATTGATATTGTAATTTGAATTAGTAAACACAAATAATTTTGAAGGAAAATTCTCAGACCGTGCATCGCACGGGTGAGTTTACTAGTGTAAAATACAAATCAACATGTAAATAAGAGGTGTTGACTTCTACACTATTCACATACTCTATTTTGACTAAATGTTACTACGTATTAATTAATGTATTGATAAATTATATTTTGAAATACTTCGTATATTATTAAATTTGTTTCGTTTTGAAGCTTCAATATCTATTTATTTATATATTCTTAGATATATGAATGGTCAAAGGTGTCAGGTGTGCGTTGTCAGACATTGTTAAAATGTAATGTTGCCGCTAAATAAGAACAGGGAGGTGTTATGGGCTATTACTGATTAACGCACGATCAAAGAAAATGAAAAACATGATAAAGGACAAACAAAATTGGCTACATGCACATGCACACGCAGATTCAATTTTTAAGAGGAGATTATTGGCCCGTTTGATAACACTGAAATTAGCTGAATTGTTGATTCTGCTGAAATTTACGAAGTTCTGATTGAAATGATTAGATTTACTGATTCTGGTGATTTAAGAAAACAATCATATTTAAAAAATATTTTATTTATAAAACAAAGAAAAGAATATATCAAATAATAGCTAAAATGCTCCTCTACAGTAACTTCAGCCAATGCAACAAAAAAATAACTTCAACTTTACTTATTTTGAATAAAATAAGAATAAACAATAAGTAATAAGAATAAGACGAACAGAACAACAACTTAGTACTCAGTGGTTAATAACGCAAATACTTCGTACTACGTAGTGTTAAAAATTTAGGTGTCGTTTGTCAAGCCTAATTATCAACCAATTTTTTCACCAACACGTAAGTTTGCTTTCGCGCGTTGAATTATGTAATAAACAGAAAAAGTAAGTTTGGAGTTACTTTTCTAGCTGTATTGGCTGAAGTTACTGTAGATGATCATTTTAGCTATTTTTACGTATAATTTTTTTCTTTATTTTATTAATAATATATATTTTAATTTTTTTTCCCCTTAAATCAGCAGAATCAGCCAATGCAGTCACTTCAGCCAAAAACTTCAGAAATTTCAGCATAAACAAATAAATCAGCCGATTTTCGTGCTACCAAACGGACTTTTAATAGGGAATACTCCGTATTAATTTAATATAAGCATGGTCCTGCCTTTTGATAATTCAACACAGTACTCCTTAATATTCGTTGGAGTACCAATTAGCGAGAGATACATTAGACTGTTTCAAAAATTAAAATTTGGACTGGCGAAAACAATATCCACATTACGTAATACGTACTGTATGTTTGCGAAAATATTTAAAAAATGATTTTCAGTTTTTGGCTTAAAATAGTTGAAAAGAGTGTTTTCAAGTGATAACTTTTATTTGAATTAATCACTTAAAAGCTAAAAGTTAAAAACTATTTTGTACTTTTTCTGTTACATAAAAAACATGTACTTTAGCAAAACTATCAACTTTTACTTTTTAAAATTAATTTTTTTTACAAACACTACCTACTTTACTATTAAGCACTTTTTCTCGGATGAGACAAACTCGGCTAAATATAAGACATGAGTATCTCTATATCACAAATTACTCAATATAAATCAAAACATATACAAAGTTAAAAAATAAAACTAAATATGTTTAATTCTGTTTTTTGACTTATTTGGTCATATTAACGGAATAATATGAATAAAACTTTCTAAAATAGGAAAGAATGATATTTTGGGAATAAAACATTGCTAATTATATTTATGAACTTTAACATTGATTTAATGTTGTTTCGAAAATTTTCTTTATCTATATTCCTCTTTTCATGATCTTTCCATAAACTCAATATATATAGATAAAATAAGAAGAAGAAGAAAAAGTATGTCCCGTGCATCGCACGGGTGCAATACTAGTTACTGATTAACGCACGATCAAAGAAAATGAAAAACATGATAAAGGACAAACAAAATTGGCTACATGCACATGCACACGCAGATTCAATTTTTAAGAGGAGATTATTGGCCCGTTTGATAACACTGAAATTAGCTGAATTGTTGATTCTGCTGAAATTTACGAAGTTCTGATTGAAATGATTAGATTTACTGATTCTGGTGATTTAAGAAAACAATCATATTTAAAAAATATTTTATTTATAAAACAAAGAAAAGAATATATCAAATAATAGCTAAAATGCTTCTCTACAGTAACTTCAGCCAATGCAACAAAAAAAATAACTTCAACTTTACTTATTTTGATTATTACACAATTTAGCGCACAAAATAAAAAGTTGTGTCTGGTGAAAAATTTGCTGAAGAGGTTGTAAGTTGAAAAACAGGGTCTCCATATGAGTACATATAGTTCTTTAAGTAAACTCTAAACATACATATAGTCTCCTACTGTCCTTGCCCAAACTGGTCATTTTGTTGGGATTATTGCATATCGTCAAGCCATGGCGTAACACCATAAGCCCGGGCTACGGGCGCGTCGCATACTCGCACCCATGGCCCCCTACTCATTGGGCTGCGAGACCCATGTGTATGATCATAAAGACATCAATACTATTCCCTTCGTCCCTTAAAACTTTGTATCTTTTTTTTGGGACGTCCCATTTTTTTTGCAATTTCTCGTTTTAATCAACTAATTTGTGGTTCTTGTTATTTCCTTCTGCACAAACCTCTATTACACAGTTTTTATTTTATTATTACCTGCACTTTACTATTCTCCATGACGAATAAAGTTGATAAAGTTTTAAGGGACATAGGGAGTAAGATTTAAACTAATCTTTCTAACAGAATTGGCTTTTAGGAGGTAAATGTTTTTGTGGCGTGTTTGTTTGACACTAATTATTTGTCCAACGGATGTTATTCATTTTTGGCATCTATGGCATTGAGATTTACACGTATTGAACTTTTGCTTTATAGTATTCTAAATATCTCGACTTAACTTTATTAAAACTGCTTTTATGCATGTTATTATCATTATGTCATCTCTGAATCGTGCAATCAATGTGTTAGACACATGATACGGTTCCTTGGTAAGATTATAACCGTGGAATGATGTTTCAAGTAGTCTTTGAGCAGATAATAGGTCTCAATGATACAACACTCTATTAACCACAAATTAAAGTTTTTGTATACAAAACGAAAAAGAAAAAAAACCAAGAAACACATCATTAACTTTAGGAAATTGCCCTAAATAGAAGTAAAAACATTCTGGAAATACAAAATATGGTTCTCATGTTTTTATAGCCGAAATAGAAGTAATTACTGTCATGTTTTGGCAGTATCAGACCTTAAACACGACAGTAATTTTCAAATTTGATATTAATTACTCTATTTAGGCAATAAAAATATGACAATAATGGTTTAAAGCTCCAAAACGTTTTCACTCCTATTTCAGGATTTTCTCCTTTTGACTTTCAATCTCATTCTAATAATTCAGCTGAATAATATGTGCAAATCAATAGACATGGAGGGGCATGATTTGGCTAGGCAAGAGTGTTGCAGGAAGTGCAGTTGCAAGACTGGGGCACAAAAGCACATACCCCAAAAGGCTTGTTTGGGAGCTGGCAATCAATCCCAAAGCAGCAGGGGGTGAGAGTGCATGTGCTTGGGTCTTCAGATGATTCACAGCACTTGCACTCTGAGCACAGCTGGAATGGATCCAACCTCCTCCGCCTTCCACCACTTAACTCCATATCCACTATGAACTCTGGTGATGTCTTCAGAGGCACCAGCTGTTTTCCGGCCACTTCTGCTACTGTCCCAAAAGAGCATGTGCCCAATATTAACAAACAAACACACATACTAAGTTCTCGAAATAGGAATAAACAGATTTTGGAATTTCAAAATCGGACTTCTATGTTTTGATTTCTAAATTAGGAGTAATATGGCAGTAGTTACTGTCATCTTGGAGTCAGTACTTCGAATATAGTTGCATTACTAGACATTAACATGACAATATTTATTGCCGTTGATGGTAGTATTTTTCAATTATGACAATAACGACTCCTGTTTCGTGAAAAGAAAAACATAGTTGTCATATTTTGAAATTCAAAACATATTTACTGCTATTTAGGTCAATTTCCCTATTTATTTCTTTATTAAGTGTATGTTTGACACTAATAGCTTAAGGACACCCTTTTGAAATTCTAAGTAGGTCTTATCTTTTAGTAACATAAAAGTTTTTGGATAGAAAAGATATATACCCAATATACTAAAAAAATTGCTGTAACTATTTGAAATTGTAACTAATGCTAAATGTAACAAACATTCTCTCATAGTTCGAGTACTTTTTTCAAAAAGATCTTAAAATTTTAAAATAGCTCTTAAAAAGTGTTCTATCAAATACGTAGTATACAACTAAAAAGTTTTAGATACTTTTTCATGAACTAGTATATCAACTAGCTAGAAGACATTTAGTTATGCCTCACTATTAATTTTTCTAATCACACTATGTCTGCAAGGTATAAATTACGTAAATTACATTATGTAAGGCTTAACAGAAAATGACATAAATTGCATATATAAATTAACGTATATTTATGAACAACAAGAGTCTCGAGTGGTGGTTTGACCACGCATGTATGCATTCGGTTGAGATTGATCTGTTTTTTTTTGTCTCTCTTTTCTATATTTGTTGTTTTTAACTCTGATTTTATATGCCGAATCATGATTGTGCTTAACTCTACCACTACATTGATTGTGGATAGTAACTATAGTAATATTTATGTCCATTACTTATATTTCGCAATATTTATGGGAAAACCTCCTAACTTTATTGGTACTAAAGTCTGATCTTTTTAAGTAAAGTTTGGTTGTTGTTGTAAACAAAGACATATAATTCAATTATATAGCTACTATACTGAATTCTCTAATGCAGTGTTCATACTCTGACTTAGAAACTTATACTATTGTACCTAAAACGGCTAAAAAGTAACCCGATATGCATAATATAGCAAATTATAGTTTTATACGTAGTACTACGTATGAGAGTTTGTATCTTGGTGTCTAACAGAACCAACAACAATAATAATTACTCTCTATAATATTTGTATAATTTCTTCAGCAGGAGAGGGATACATAAAACTTACCTTCACCCATAACCAAGTGGCAGATGAAGAGAAGCAGTAGGAAAGGTACTTTGGAGTGATTGATAGGTGTTAGATTCATGGTTATCTTAATGGTTTGGATAGTTTAAAACCAGAGAATTGGAAGAGAAAGAAGATCAGAGAAATTGGGATCGAATGAAATGATGAAGAATATTTTGGTGGGGGAATGGAGCATTATTATGAGGAATAATATTTGGATGGATGCAAGTGGTGTGGGGTTTGTGATATATATGGGCCATCCTACACTTCCTATATGTGAATAGAATCGAATGATTCATGTTATATATGCATTGATTAGAGATTATATCACCTTAACTTGCTAAAATAGATCGAACCAACATTAAGCCAACTAAATTAGATTAAGAAATGATTCCTTAGGCATGATTAAAATATAGGCAAGTAGACAAAAAAAGATTATCACTATTTTCTTACTAAGATAAGACTCATTACTCATGATTGGGAAAGCTTTATACCTTTTCATATAACCAAATAATTCTTATTTTAGAAAACAATATAGCCACTCTTATTTGTGTTTTGTTTATACGTTACTTCTATTTGGAACAATTATTTTTAGATTAAAAATCTCCATTCATAATGGACCGATTTGTCACAAACATATTTGTGGGGTATTGGGTCTAGGCCCAAGTACCCCGAGACAGTCCAACTAGCACACGGGCTCAATTTTAGAAGCCTGTCCGGGATAATCCTGGCACTTGATGCTATCTCCACTATCATTGATGCTTGATGGAGAGCTCTCCAAATTAATTGGCGGGAAAGTTGGAATTGATGGACTCGGCTTGACACATCATCCCTACACCTATCGTTTTATAGTATAAATATTCGCATTTATTCCATTGTAAAAGATTGACAAACTTACAAACATTAGCTTAGACTAAGACTTGTCTCCACTAGTTCTTCTGTAATATCTCAGTACGTGGTGGAGTAAATGCCGGAAAATATTTACCAAGTTTTATTAAACAAATATTTGGGGGCCAAACCAATACCGGCCACTTGAGTGAAGGCATCCCTTCAAAATTTACAATGAAAATAAATTAGTGAGAGAAAATAAATGAAAATTTTGGGGGGCTACCCAAAATTAATTAACAAAAGAAAGTAACAAAAGATAACAGATTCTAAGAACAATGAAAACAAGGCAATCTCATTGAAAAGTTACAGAAACTCCTTGTCCGTAGAAGATTGTATGCTTTTCTACTGTTTGTTTGTCCCTGCATGCCGACATATCTAACTTATCTTTACTTTAAAACCATGTCTTCCAATATATGCATGTACGTGGTTGGTTTCACAATTTCTTATTATTGACCAAAAATATGCTCAACCTTTTATGCTTAACTTGCAATATGCATCATCTTAGACCTCTTGTGCTAAAGTAAGTCATCTCATATCAGCAAAATATAAAAGTAAATTTACAGATAAGCAATTGGGGTACTGTACACTGTTTTAAATAGCGGTCGGCCACCGCTATAGCGGCCGCTATATAGCGGTCGCAGTAGGTACCACTACCGCTATATACGGGCCACTATCAGGGTGTGATTTTCAAATCACATAGAAATCCCGCTACACCGCCTGCTATAGCCCGTTACAGGCCGCTATTGGCAGTACATCACGAACTGGTTGATGTAAATGGTGTGTGCATGATGTGAAAAAATACATCAATGGTGATGCATGGAGTGTAGCATCGCCATCTCGAAACGATTCAGCGATATTAAAGGACAATGGATTTGGTATAAAAGTGTATAAAATATAAAATGTGAATAGATTGCACTAAACAACCTGCTTGTATTAGAGTAATTCGCTGATTACAAAAAGGCTGAACGACACCTCGGAACAATAGTTAATACAAGATTGAGGGAGGGATAATCTATCTAAAGCTCTGAGTATCAAAATGTTAACCCTTTACAATGTAGTTAATGCATCTATTTATACTAGAAAGAGGGTAGGTAGGGTGATGACGTGGCCGAAAGAACATATCGGTGATGAATGGCTTTGGGGACTTGGGGGAAAGGCGTTCCATTTTTTTTGGGATCAGGCCGTCCGGGATAGAAACAATTATATTTTATGCAAACTAATTCATAGTGTTTGGAGATTAGGCTCAGGCCCGGGATCAGAACCAAATACTGCAGGAACCCAATCCGCTTGAAACTGGTATTCGCGGAAGCACATTTAATGCACCAGATATGAAAAAATTTATGGTTAGAGGGCTATCCACTCGTGGTTGGGGACATCACCCCCTTCACCTACTACCTTGTAGTGTAAATAATATCATTTATTTCATTGTAAAAGGTTGACAAACTTGTATTCTTGACAATAGACTTTTTTCTAATTCTTCTGTAGCATTAAGCTTGGTTTAGGGGCTCGGGCTCTTTGCTCGGGCTCAGTATGAGTGTTGTGGCCATTCTAATGACTTTCTTTAATAGAACTGGATTCACTTTACCTCTTATTTACTTGCTTATACTTGTACCTCTTTCTTGTCTCAAACACTCACCTAAACGAATCTACTAAGAACACTCAAACACTCACCCTAACAACAACACATAGTTAAACCTATATTACACACAATTGAGCCCCATGGTTTATAGTCATATTTGTACCTAGTATAAAAGAATATGAAAATATATACGTAGTATTTAGGTTTAGAAAGAAAATGAATCTGTAAAGATGTATAACTATAAATAAAAAATGAATTTGTAAATGTGTATAACTAGAAATAAAAAATGAAATGCATAATGTTTTCATTGAAGAATAGGAAAATAATAATTTTGAAAGGATAGAAATGGAGAACTAGCTAGGGGATAAGTGTACGTTTAACAAATTGAGCATAACAACCGTTTAGATGGAATGAGTTTTCATAATTCTTCATAACTACACCATAGACATTCTGTGTTCTTAAATGGATTTATTATATGGTCTTCATTCAAAATAATTTGCTAAAGTGGTGGATTGCATCATTGCAAGCTAGCTTAATTCGATTGGATAATTTTTTGTTCCTTAGCTTGGATCAAAATAAACTCATAGACGAACTGTGTGAAGATTAAATTCATTCAACTTTTCATCTTTTTATTGGTTTACTTTATCATTGCCAATTGTCATTTTTTAATTTTGTTACGATGGTATTCTCATATCTCATGGGCTTAGTTGATTATATTCGCTAGCTCTATTCATTAAAATGATTTTTTTTATTGATGACAACTTCAAGTTGGAGTAGTGATCAACGATTCAAGTTGCTTTTTGTTAGAGTAATCGGTATCATATGAGTGATTTTTAGTTTTTTGTCGGTCGAACTCAAAAGTTTTTAGTATCTGTTTTGAATTAATAAAAGTTTATGTTTCCACGAAAGAGCGAGTATGAGTGTATGACTTCTCTCTCGACTTGGGGAGTGGACCAGGCCCGGTCCAGTTCCGGGTCAGGCCCGGGCGCGCTTGTTTTTTTTTTTGGGTGAAGCCCGAGTACCGGCCCGGGAATCTACCGGAACCGGGTCGGGCCGGTTTTTTTATTTTTTTTAGCTTTTCTTATTTATTCCAACCCTTCACCCCCTAGCCCCCACCCCCAAATCCCGCCAAAACACCCAACCCTGCCCACCTACCATAGGCCCAAACCCAAAAAAAAAAGAAAAAAAAAAACTAAAAAGGCCCGGGCCGACCGGGGCCCCTAATTATTCAGCCCCGGAGCCCACCCCCTCAACACCCCCGGGTCGGTCCTAGGCCCAGTCCCAGTCCCGGGAAACTGGGTCGGGCCGGTCCTGCACAATGGCGGGCCGGTCTGGAGCCCGGGCGGGTTAGACCGTTCTTGGGCCATCCTTAGTGGTGAAGGGCAAAAACCCTAGCCGTTTTCCTTCTCTTCCCTTTTTCTCAATCATTTTTCTCCTCCTAAAGATGAAAGGTTATCTCCTTCAAAAGTATTTTCAAGTTATTTTATGCGATTTGCGATGTTTTAGAGTTTGTGTATTTGTCATCGGTAGAATCGACCGGGCATTGAAATTTTATTGTTGGTGTCTTCAAACATCAACGACTCTAAGACCTTAGTTATTCGCCCTCCTTTTGAACCACCGTTTTGCTATGAGAGAAAGATTGTGTCCAATTAGATCTTCTTTTCGGTGGCCGGAAAAATATATGATATTTGCAATTTCTACCCATTAGCTGGTCAAACTAAGGATTCTAGATTTTAGGTGTTTCTTTCTTATGGCCGGACAAGCAAGATTTTCCATTTATTTCCTTGTCAGTGGATTGTAAAATCGATCTATATGTTTGTTTTCTATCGCGGAATAACTTTTTTACTTTTTCTAGTCTTGATTATTGGTTAAGTGCTGGAACTTTCTATATTGATAAAGAAGTTCACATCTTTCCTCTGAAAATTTTCCATTATATATCTTATCCTATTGTAACAGACTATCAAAATTACTTTTTTACTAAACATTTTTAATATATATAAACAAGAGTTTTTTTTTTCCAAAAAAAGTTGACATCTCCAAATTGAGCAATTCTTTACCCATCTAGGAAAGGGAATGAACGTTCATTCTGAACTGTAAAACGAGGCACGTGAGACAGGATTCAAATTTGAAAAGGAAGAGGAGGGAAGCACGTGCCAATCGAATGGCCTTCTAAACGCCCCGTTTCCAGAAACCCTCAGAGATTTGCATTCCAGAAGATCAAATAGAGAAATTCCTTCTGAAGTGGAAGGGGGAGAAAAGATCAAAAGACAGGAGAGAAATGGAGAAATACGAGAAGCTCGAGAAGGTCGGTGAAGGAACCTACGGGAAGGTGTATAAGGCCAAGGACACGGCGACGGGACAGCTGGTGGCTCTGAAGAAGACGCGGCTGGAAATGGATGAGGAAGGGATTCCTCCCACCGCTCTCCGTGAGATTTCCCTCCTCCAAATGCTCTCCCACTCCCTCTACGTCGTCCGCCTCCTCTGCGTCGAGCACGTCGAGAAGAATGGGAAGCCTCTTCTTTACCTCGTCTTTGAGTATCTGGACACCGATCTCAAGAAATTCATCGATTCCCACCGTAAAGGCCCGAATCCCAGGCCGCTCCCGCCTTCCCAGGTCCAAAGCTTCCTTTTTCAGTTGTGCAAGGGTGTTGCCCACTGCCATAGCCACGGTGTTCTTCACAGGTACTTGATTCAATTCGATTTGACATTCCGATTTCACCCCAAATTGATTCACCTGGAAAGGTTTGTGATTCTTCGTTGATTGTTTCAGAGACCTGAAGCCTCAGAACCTTTTG